AACAGGAACGATCCAAGGGCGAACCGTCGTGAGAAGGACAGTGGAGTAGTGTAGTGAGAAGGAAAATGGAAAGCCGCGAGGAGGAAAGTGGAGTGTCGGGCGAACCGTCGTGAAGAGGAAATTAGACTGTCCGTGAAACAAAGAGGGTGGTATCCTGGCCGAGTCGAGACTGGGTCAGCTTGAGCAGCCTCCAACATTTCCCCCGTGGGGGTCGTTTCAGGGCTTATTCGACGTCCTTCTGCGGCGACCGGACCAAACGCCACGACGCCCTGCATAACCAGGACTTCTTCGACGCCCTGGCCGCTGGCCACGCCAGGGCGGAGTTGGAGCGCCTGGGTTTGCTACCCCCGCACCCCGTCGGGGAAGTCACCCCCTGGGGCGAGCAGGGCGGGTCCCAGGTGGACGACACTGGCCGCCGCCCTGTCGACGTTTACCTTCCACGGTGGCGCAACGGTGCGGCGGCCGCCTGGGACTTTGCCGCCACGTTTGGGGTGCGCGCCGATCTCCTTGCCGCGTCGGCCGCTTCGTCGAGCGCGGCGACGGAGCGGTACGAGGAGTTCAAAAGACAGCGCCAGGACACCGCCCCCTCCGGGGCTTACTGGGCCTCCCCCCGCCGTTCTAACAGCTCTGGAGGCCACCGAACAACGACCGGAGCGGCCACACCGGGCCGAAAACGCCAGGATAAGGCGGCTCGATAGGCCCTAAGGACGTCCCAATGAGGCTCCAACATGCGCCCTGGGACGGCCAGGATGCCAACGTCGTATCATTCCCGCTGCGGCCAGGTGGGGCGCAGTGCGAACCCTGCCTTTGGGGCCTGTGTGGAGATCCCTGTGAGTCACGAAGTGTGTGAGAGGTGTGCCGAAATAGGCGGGGGGGCGGGATGCGAACCTTACCAATGGGGCCGTCCGTGGAATTCCGTGCGGGCCACGATCCGTGTGAGAGGTGTGCCGAAGTGAGCTCGGCGACGCTGACAAATTTCCCCCTGGTGCCACACTTGTGGTTACCAGCGGGGCATGATCTGCGTGAGGGGCATGCCACTTTGCGAACCTTGTCTCAGGGGACGTCGCTGGATCTCCCTGTGGGGCGCGATACCTGTGCAGACATGGGCGGGCACGCTAAGCCAAATTTGTTTCAGGGGCCGCAGCAAGTGGAACTCCCTGAGAAGCACGATCCGTGTGACAGTCTACGTCTTCCGATGCCGAACGTTGTGCTTACAATTGGAGTTTGCTAGAACCAAAGCGCGCGCAGCGCGCGTTGGTTCTAGTATGTGTGTGTGTGTGTGTGTGTGTGTGTGTGTGTGCGTATATACGCATATAGGTATGTACCCTCCCATGCGGCAGATGCCGCCCTCTGCCGCCCGCCTCCAAGCGCCCACGGGGTGGGTCGGGGGGGTGGCAAGAGAAGGACGAGCCAGAGGAGGAGGAATAACGAAGAGGGAGGAAGGAGGACGAGGGAAAGAGGATGACATGACTGCAGCCTGGGACCGGCAGCGAGGGTCTGCCGCGGAGGATTGTAAACAGAGATCGGATGGCGGCACAGACTGCGTCGTCATGGGAGCGACGGGAGAAAGCCAGGTCGACTGCGCCGACATTCGCGCGTAAGTGTCCCGCGTAAAGGCCGCGCCTGAGCGCCGTCGTTTCCAATGTGGCTGGCCGCGCCGGCGGCCCGCGTGGGCCGCGGCGTGAGGTCGCTATGTCTTCTCGTGCAAGGCCCGTTTCGTTTCGTCGCTCAGGTGGGCAGTTGAGTGGAGAGGCGTGTGGGCGTGCGGCATGCGGGTGTGTGGATGTCTCGGGAGAGGCCGCGGGGCCTTCAGATCTGGGCGTTTTGGTTCCAACCCGGCATCTTCGCCCGGCCTCGGGCTCCCGGGCCTTCACAGACCGATCCGGTTCGAGCAATGCAGTAGGAAGATGGGGCCGAGGGCTCCAGTCGTTGTTTTTGTCGGTTGTTGTTATTTTTGTTGCTCTTGTCATTGTTATTATCCGTAAGGGCTTCGCCCCATGCCGCCGGCCCCCTGTCTCGGATAATGGGAGGTGCAAGAGCTAAATCATGAGGTCTGGGCGCCGCCGTGAAGCAGTGTCGGGACCTGTTTGTTTTTTGACCCTGGCCCCGCCGATTTGCATGAGGGGTGCCACCGAATTTTAGAAATGTGACACATCCCCTCTGTTTTTGGATCCTGACCCCGCCGATCTGCGTCAGGGGTGCCACCGAATTTCAGAAATGTGGCACGTCCCTTGTGTTTTTGGATCCTGACCCCGCCGATCTGCGTGAGGAGTGCAACCGAATTTCAGAAATGTGACACCTCCCTTGTGTTTTTGGACCCTGATCCCGCCGATTTGCGTGAGGAGTGCAACCGAATTTCAGGAATGTGGCAAATCGCATGTGTTTTTGGACCCTGACCCCGCCGATCTGTGTGAGGGGTGATACCGAATTTCAGAATTTTGGCAAATCCCGTGTGTTTTTAGACCCTGACGCCGCCGATCTGTGTGAGGGTGTGGCCGAA